TTTGTTTTGTTTTTTAATTAATCCGTTTCAGGAAGAAACTGCAAAAATTTAAAAATACGGTAACCCTGAGGTTCAAAACTCTAACAAGCTTTGCTTCTATGGCCAGAAACAGGTGAGAGAGCCAACAAAACCTCTGCCCCCAGTATTAGACTACATCAGCTATAATTTACTTTGTTTCGCCTGGATTTTGGTTGCTCAAATGAAGAGATTATCAAAAATTGTTGCCGAATGCCCTAGCTGTATTGCAGCACAACAGCTAAAACCCAGGCTATCAAAACTAGAAGCCCAACAAAGACAGGAAAATCAAAGAACACTGCTCTTACTTTTTTACATTCTTCACTTTCATACTTGCTGTGCTGCCACAGGTCCGGAGCGGCAACTCCCCTGGAATGTCAGGGATATCTGCACCTCTTGCCTGCAAAAAAGAAGAAAGAAAAAGCAAGGAACTTAGAATTTGACTGCATGCTATGGACTACCACCTGCTAAGCAGAAGCCCATATATTTTTACATATACATACAAACACAGCTCAAATCTCATACGTGCTAGAAGCTGTACTTCTGCCTTTTTAACAAGGAAAACTGAACCTCAGGATTACAATCTAGCATGTGATTATCTCTTCCTGAACCATGTTGCAGAGCCTTGCTGATTCTTGGTAATAACTGTGAGATCCAGTATTTTATTCATTACTACTTCTGGTTTCTAAAGAAGATATTTTCAGAGGTAGGAGTCTAACATACATTCCTAAACTCCATACTTAAGACTCCTCATTAAGCACCTGATTTTCCAAACATCTGTGCACTTAGATTCAGGCAGAGGCACCAGAAGAAGCTGGATAGCTCATACAGTGGAAAATCAAGTTAGTGACAGAGCTGCTTATATGTGGGAGGTGAGCTTTTAAAAAAGATGTTTGAAGCTATTGGTATAAGTGCATGAACATATTAAAATTCCTTATTCACTAAAATTAATTTACTTTAGTGAGGCCAGAACTCCAAACTCCCTCTTTTCATTTGTTCTGTCATGCTTTCCCATCCTCTCCTTCCTCCAACTGCTTTTTCGTAAGCCGTGAGCTCTGCTGGGGTAGCATTCACCATCACAGGGGACTCTGAAACACTCAGTACCACGTGTTTCTCTTGCTGTGCTGTACCAGGCCCTAAGCTCTAGAGGAATGAGGGGGTTTAGGTGAGGCTTTTATGAAGGGAGCAGTGATCAAACAAGAAGATTAGCACAGACTTCACAGAGCAGGAGGACAAAAATATGGTCCCTGATGTTGGCCAGAGATAGCTCATTAGGGATGTGGGCGAGACCAGCTGAATGAGCTTTTTTTGCTTTATACAATGCACTACAAAACATGAATAATGTCCAAAATAGTGAATGCTCAAGCAAGAGGAAGAGAGGCACTTCAGTATTCCCTCTCTTACAGGCCTGGAACAAAAAATCCATTTTCTAATGACAGCAGTAAACAGACGAGTTCTCTGATCCGGAAGATCAGTACCAATGCTTCTAAGCTGGTCCACCAAAAGATCTCTGAACAGAGACGATCAGTCCCAAAGCTGTTACATTTAACAGAATACAGTTGTAGACTGCAATGTAAAATATGGAAATTACTTGGTCCTCACCCCCAAAACTTTAGAGTCACACAATTACAATTCAAGATAGCAGCCCACATAAGGGATGCACAATGGGGGAATCTTTCTCATCCCCCTCCCTGAAGCTCTCATTTTAGCTTGACGTGGGTCAAATTTACATGGGTTTCACCACATCATGAAGAGCTGCAGTAAATAAGTCAAAACCATTCACCATGCCTATATTCATTAACTAACAGCAACAGAGCTAGAGGGAGTGATTCATCTCATTCAACTCCAGGCATGCACGAGGTACACAGCTACAACTGTGTTACCTACCCGAGGCTACTCTTATAGTCACCAGAGATAAACAGGTACTTTGGGTCCAGTTCACCTACTTCAGACAACCAGATTAGGAGAAAAGCAACCACGGTTGCAGGAGTATCTATTTCTCCCTTGATACAGGGAATCCAGGATGACCCTGGCTCAGATGCAGACATACGTCGTGGACAGCTGCATTCATCCAACCAACACCACTGTGGCTTAAGCAGGACTTGAGCAGAGCACGTTCTCTGCGCCCAGACAAATTCCTGTTATTTCCAGCACTGCCCTTGGAAAAGGGATGCTGCAGCTATTATGAGTGAGCTCCCCCCTTTCAACATTACTGAATAAATCTGAAGCCAGGACACTCACTCTCACAGTTGCGCCTTTCACAGCCCTGAACATAAGCAATGCTTTAACTCCATTGTCCCACAGCTGTACAGAACATGCACACCCACTCAGTGAAGAAAAACAAGGACAATATTTATACCCTTAAATAAACCTATCCTTGGCTGACTGACTGTCACTAAGCACACTATAACTTCAGTATGTAACAGGACACTTGAGAGTCTCATTGTGAATTTTAACATTAAGAGGATCACCAATTTAATAAACCTTACAGGTCTTTTACATAAGAAAATAACTAATTACAGTAATAAATGTGCCATTCCTGTAAGCTGCTTTTAGGCAAAGCTGGATGTGCTTGCCTTAATTTTCTAAGGAACAGAATTTCTGTAGGAAGAAAAATAATTTTTCTTCTCCATCAGCAGTAGAAGCTGGTGGGATATAAAAACGGATAAACAAATCTGACAGAAAAACGTGGGCTTCGAGCCAGTTTGCAGCAGTGGGTAGAGACTACCCTGGATCTGACTCAAAGCAGCGTAGGCAAAACTCACACCTCCAGGAGACTTAAATGCCAGCATCTCTCTCTGCAAAAGTTGTGTTATCCTCTTCTTCCCAGTTGAGCTATGTCCAAATCGTGCTGGAAGGAGATATCTGCCTCTCCCGTTTCCAACAGCATGTATCCATTTAAATGGACTACAATGAGATGCAACACAGTAATTAACTTTGGTTGCTTTTCCAATTAGATCTGAGCTCTTCGGGCTCTGCTGCAGAGTAACAATCTCTCCTAAGTCTCACAGTTGAGGAAAAAGGGCAGAATGGTGGTGATGTGCAAGCTAAAATCTTTAGTATGCGGTACTAACACCAGAAAAAACTTGGTGAATAGATAGATGAGCAAAAAAGAAACTTACTGCAATTTTAGAAACCATATTACTCCAAACTAAACCGCAACTACTTTCCATTTAAACCAAAGATACATAGCTATATAAAAGCACACTTTATTCACCACCAGTTTGTACCTGTTCTGATCCAAAACCTGGCATGCAAAACGTCACCCTAGATTACCCTCCTCACAAAATACAAAAAAAAAATTCCAAACGAGATTTGTCATCTTTTGTGCTTTGTGTCACAGTAATTTAATTTTAAAAATCATTTTGAAACAGCTGAATTATTTACATCTGAAAATTAGCTAGCTAGCATCATCAGTTGCTTCTCACTTCCCTATTTTCTATGCATCGCTGTTCTGTGGGAACCTAGTAATTGCATAGCAAATCTGTTTATGCAAATTATTTAGTCCAATTTTCACAGCTTAATGTCACTGCTGCATCAATCTGCTTTGGTCCAAAACTGGGTAAACAAATTAGGACTCGATCCAGACTGCAGTCAATTGACTTTATCAGGATCCTCAGTCCTGCTACATTTCAGTGGAAGGCTTTTGAGCAGCACCACTTCATCAGTCTCCCCTGAACTAAGATATTCTCCTACCAAAAGCTCACTAAAGACTACACTTATATTAGTAGCAGTTGGGACAATATTTGAGAACTTCAGTATTTTATAACAGACACATCAAATGCGAGGCAGGTAGATACCACTAAAATGTTTGTTCTAAGCAATTTTGGGAGAATGCCTGTCTGTCTGTCCCACCCCCTGATGGACGGTCATTCCATTTTTAAATCATCACAGCCGTTTGCTCGGTGGGTATCAGAAGGAGCCCTGAAGCACCTACATCACTTGTGCAATTTTCAAGTGTTGCTGCTGAACTCCCTGGGAATCTGAGAGCTCTTACAAATCAGGGTGTCCAGCTTTAAGCATCCAAGTTTGAAATTTTTGGTCTTTATATTTATAGACATGATTTGGAAAACTTCAGCTTTGCGCTCTCTAGTACACAAAACCTTAGTCATAAATCATTTATCTCTAACAAGTCCAGTGTATAATATGAAAGGATTTTCTTCTAAAAAGTCTCATTGCAGGTATCAGAAAACACGTCAACCCGTCTCCCTCACATCCAGAAATGTAACACGATTTGAAAATACACGTAAAATTGAAGAAAACGGTCCAGTGAACACAATGTGATAAAGTTTCCATTCTGGTATCCACAACAGGGGAGAATATTGAACCTCTGCAAAACCCACGGTCCTCCTCCTACTGCCACAGGCTTACACTGAGATGCACAAGAAGAGAAGAAACAAGCTCCAGTAATCCCATAACTGGTAAACTGGTTTTCCACAACACTACCATAAAACCCCTGAGGAGGTACCATATACAGGAACAGACACAACACAAGACTTGACAGGTCAGCATGTCCCCAGGCTACCGAATTCAAGTGGGATTTCCGAAGGCAGAAATTTACTCTTATCCAAGGTTAACACAGAGCAAGAATAACTATTAGACAGGCAGTAACATCTATGCATCTTTCTACCATCAGTCTCTCACCAAAACCAGTTTGGAGGGACCAGATTGCTCTGGATTCTTTCAGCACATGGCCTTGTTTCTAAAAATAGTACAGCTGATACAAAATGCTGGTTGGTTTCCATGACAGTCTTTCCTTTACATCATCTTCATTTCCCCTCGATTTTCTTGGAGGGGTGGAAAAAAAAGAAAGAGGAAAAAAACCACCACAAACCCCCCCAGAGCTTTGCAAAAAAGCCAAGCTTTGTTAGAGTTTTACTTCTTCACTGAAGAACAGCAGGAAACAGAAATGTTGTTTCAGTAAAAGTCATTACTCCGTGGTGAGTAATGGTCGACTTAACTTGAGCTAGAGGGTGAACTGAAGCGGCCAGTATACACAGTCCGATACCCGAAGTGGGTGTTTATGCACAAGGGCATCAACAGCTATTCCAAATCTTGGGTACCAGCTAGCTACACAAAGCTGGCTCGGCATCAACTCCTTTGCAGAGCTTACTTTGCAACATTAAAAAGAAACTGTCCTACAAAATCTCCCGATCTCTGCGAGGTAAAAGACAATCACTCTGTTAGCACCATCCTGCTTTTACCGATTACTGCTCAAGAGTTAGCCTGAAGCACAGTGAAAGAAGAATTATGGTTCATCTCGGCTTCATACTCCACAGCCAGTAACATACTCCAGGGAAAGAAAGCTCTCTCTACTCTCACTTTATATGTTGTAACAACCATCCTGGTTCTCCACAATAAATAAATCAACGAAGCAAAGGAAAAATGCTTTCACTAAAC